TTATAATAATAAAGGCACCATTTCCAATCTCCTTTTGAATTATGAATGGTCCCTCCCAATTCAGAGACCACTTCCCTAATTGATCAACCTTTTTATATGTTGGAAGAATAGTTTTTCAGACCAAGTCTTCTTCTTTGAATGTTCTGTAAAAGATCTTCTTTCCATAAGTCTTGGCCCTGATCTCATTCTGCTTTACAATTTGATCAATTGCATGAAGTCAGTTGACATCCAGACTGTCCAATTGCTGCGGCATCAATTGTTGGTATTCCTCAGTAAATTCATCGTTGGTAAAGCTTGTGCGTCCAGATGAGACCTGCACTTCAGCTGGCAATACATCTTGTCCAAAGGTGAGTTGATAAGGTGAAAATCCTGTGGCAGAACTTCTGTTATTCCTATGTGCCCATAAGGCTCGAGGTAACAACAAATGCCATTTCCTTGGGTTCCCCCCAATTGTTTTCTTGATAATTCCAATAATAATCTTGTTAGCTGCTTATGCCTGCCCATTAGCCTGGGGATAGTAAGGTGAAGAATGACTCAGACGAATGCCAAACTCTGCCAAAAAACTTAAAAACTTATCCCCAGTAAAGACCAGACCTTGGTCGGTTGTTACTGAATGAGGTATACCATATCTATATATGATTTGATTCAACACAAAATCAATAACCTCCTTCTGATCCACATTTTTCAAAGCAACCGCCTCCACCCATTTGGTGAAATAATCTGTTGCGACCAGAATAAAACAATGATTCTTGGATGAAGGAGGATGAATTTTACCAATGATATCCATAGCACAAGATTTGAAAGGCCATGGTTTCACCATCGCTTGCAATTCTGTTACTGGTAAATGAATTAACTGCCCGTGCCTCTGACATTCTTTGCAGCCCTTGGCAAATTGTATGCAGTCTTAAAAAATCTTTGGCCAAAAGAAACATAAACGATGAATAGACCATCTCATGTTCAGACTTGCTCGATGAGCCCCACACATTCCACTGTGTACTTCTGTCATCACCTCCAAGGCCTGCTCGGGACCCAAATATTTCAAGAGTAATCCTTCGAATGTTCTTTTATATAACACTCCTTCTACCAACTGAAATCGCAATGCTTTCAATCGAATTCCAATTGGTACATTTGCTCATGGATCTTGCAAATACAAGATAAGTTCTGTCCTCCAGTCGGTTCCTATTTTTGTCTCAGGACCGACCTCTGCACAAATATCTTTTGAGAATCTTTTGCATGCTTTTTGAGCTAGGTCGTCTGCAAATTGATTTTCCTTTTTAGGAATAAACTCAATTATGACTTCGGAGATCTTTGATAGCAACTGACCTACCAAATCCCTGTACCTGCGTAGGTGGGGATAATTGCAAACATATTGTTTGTTTACCTGATTAATCACCAATTGGGAATCTTCTTTTATAATGACCGACTGAACTTTCCTAACTATCAAAGCCTCCAGACCCAAGATTAAAGCCTCATATTCTGCTGAATTATGGGTCATAGCTTCTAATTGCAACTTCAGATTAATCCTTTGGCCATCTGGCCCTTCTAACAAAACTCCGGCTCCCGATCTGTTTCCTAAGGTAGAACCATCAAAAAACATTAACCAATATCGGGTGCTTACATAAGATACACACCGAGTCGGCTGCTCCTCACGACCTACAAAGTCTGCCAAAAAGTCTGCTACTGCTTGGCCCTTGACCACCCTCAAAGGAGAATGATACAAATCGAAAGGTGCTAATTCAATGGCCCATTTCATGAGTCTACCTTGCATCGTAGGTCTTTGCAAAATCAACTTGATGAGATCAACCTTTGAGATAATCTCAACTCTTCTAGGCAGCATGTAATGTTCAAGTTTGGTGCATGCAAACACCAATGAATAACACATCTTATTTGGCATTGTATAATTTAATTCTGGTCCTGTGAGAGTCTTGCTCAAATAATAAATTGCCTCTCTTTTCCATCATCTCCATCTTGAGCTAATAAGCAACTGACCACTTCATAGGTATTTGCCAAATAAAGTTTGAGGGGCCGACCTTCCTTGGGAGGCATCAACACAGGTGGTTGAGCCAATGCTTGTTTTATAGCCTCTAGAGTCGTCTGTTGGTCTGGTCCCCACTCAAAGGCACTTCCTCCTGCCTTCAATAATTTAGTGATTGGTCTGACCTTGCTAGCAGCATTGGAAATGAACCGCCTGAGATAATTCACCTTCCCCAACAGACTTTGAATTTCCTTAATCGTCTGAGGTGGTCGGCTAGTAAGAATTGCCTTGGCTTTGTTAGCATCGATCTCAATGCCCCTCTCATTAACCAAGAACCCCAAGAAACTCCCAGCTGATATACCGAAAGCACACTTAGTCGAGTTCATTTTCAATTTGTATTTCTTCATCCTACTGAAAGCATCCTTAAGATCCCTCAAATGTTCCTCAAAGCTAGAAGACTTGACAATAACATCATCAATATAGACTTCCATAGATTTACCAATGAGATCATGAAAAATTGAGTTCATAGCTCTCTGATAAGTCGCCCCAGCATTCTTCAAACCAAAGGGCATAACTGTCCACTCATAAATACCCAATGCTCCTGGACATCTATATGCTGTCTTGTGAATGTCTTCCTCTGCCAAAAAGATTTGGTTATATCCTGCATAACCATCCATCAAACTGAGAATTCTGTGTTCTGCTGCTGAATCAATTAGCATGTCAGCCATAGGCATCACATACTCATCTTTAGGAGTGGCCATATTAAGATCTCTGAAATCAATGCATATCCTGATCTTACCATTTTTCTTAACCACTGGTACAATGTTGGCCAACTAGTCTGCATAACGACAACGTCGGTGAAACCCACTTTAAGAAGCTTCTGAATCTCTTCTTTAATCTGAGGCATCAAGTCAGGACTCATACGTCTTGGAGATTGCTTACAAGGCTTGAAATCCTTCTTAATAGGCAATCGATGTTCTATCAGACTTCGCTCCAGTCCAGGCATTTCTGAATAGTCCCAAACTAAACAATCAATATTGTTTCTTATAACTTCGAGCATCAATGTTTGTTGCTCTTCAGATAAATAACCACTCATTCTGATTATTTTTGGAACCAGGTCGGTTCCTAAGTTGAAATCCAGTAAAGGATCTTGTGCTGAGAAAGTTGGCTCTGTTTTCTCTAATAGATCAGGCCAACGAAATTTTTCTTCTTGGGAATGAACATCATGTATCTTTTTGATTTTTTCTACTTTTTTCGAAAGTTGGTCTAAATAATACTGATTAATAAGTAAACTGCAGTCTTGTAAATCTGCTTCTTCCATAAGAAATGTATTATACAAAATAGGTATGGCTTACTCAAGAGTCATATAGTACAACTTGTTCTTTTTAAAAGAACATTGAATTCTGGCCAATGAATTTAAAACCCTTCTTTGGGTAATCATTAGCCATAAAAAACTGCTACATTGGAGGTACATGACCAGAATAAAAAACTGATTCTTCAACTTGTTCTGATGCTCCAAAAGGATTGTCATTTGCCTCCATTTTGAAGACTTGGTTGCCCTCCCAGAACATCAATTGTTGATGCAGTGTTGATGGTACACATTTAAATGCATGAATCCAATCTCGTCCAAGCAGGATTGAATATGTGGTATCTGCATCCACCACGAAGAAAATAGAAGAGATCTTCTTTTGACCGACTTCAATGGAGGCGACCAACATACCTTCTGGTTTGGTCAGCTGCCCTGTAAAGCTAGTCATCTCAAAATCCACAGGAGATAGATCGTGAATTCCCTTTCCTAACTTCTTGAGAGTCTTTAATGGCATTACATTGAGGACGGCCCCATTATCAATGAAAACCTTTGTGATTGGTTTCCCACAATATGAGCATTAACGTACAGAGGTTTCAGACGAGACACCATGCCTTCTGGAATGGGAGGGAAGACTATTGGAGGGACCTCTGATTGAAAGTCAGGATCCGCAATTTTTGCCCATTCTGGCTCTTCTATAGACTCATCCACCAGACTTGCCCACAAAGGCTCTTCCTCAACCCAATTAATTTTTGTCATTCGGCAGGGGATACGTGGCCCTAGTCGAGATTTGACAGACCTTGAATCCTTCTCTGGCATTTCGTCTCCGACTTCAGTTTCGGGTTGAACAGTCAGAGATTCTAAACAAAATTCCTCCAAAGATGGGTTAATGTTAATCTTTTCACAATACTGACATCTGAAACCCTCAACTCTTTCATCACTCAAGCCTTTACCCTTTTTTTGCATAGACCGACCTCCCTCATTATAATTAGCAGTGTCTCGTATGCTGGTCGGTTGCTTTGACGAGGCGACCTCAATAGGCTGACCTTCTTCTGCCTCATTCGGCTGCTCAAGCAAAACAATCCTGATGGACCGACCTCTTTCAGTATATTTAACAATGCCTTGGCCGTAGTTCGGTTGCTTTGTTGAGGCGCCCCGTATGTACCGACCTCCTTCCGAAGAACTTGGTTGTCTCGAGGAAGCAACCTTGTCTCTGTATCTTGCAGCGTACCTGTGCTTGGCATTCCGAATCTGAGTACGATTCATGCCTGGGAAGCGAGGATCCATATCAATTGGTAAAGGTTTCTTATTTCGAGTCCATTTGCTTCCGACCACACTCGTCCCCCTGGTCGGGTGGTCCCGAACCAAAGCTTGATCCTTTAATTCCACATTAAAAGAACTATCTTGGTTGTCCCATTTTTCAGCCACTGTTTTTTCACAGACCTTGAGTTTCTCCTCTGGTTGGCCACTGTTTGATGAGTTCCCTTTTTCTTTTCTGGAAGTTGGTTGTATGTTAACCATTGTTGTGGTTACTTTTGGAAATGGTTGCTGCTCCACTCCCAAAGTAATATACTTGAGCCGACCTGCCTTAATAGCCTTTTGGATCTCATTTCAAAAATAAGTGCATTGACTTGTCTTATGTGTGAAGGAGTTATGCCACTTACAGTACGGCGTCCCTTTGATCTCTTCCTTAGTAGCCAACCTCTGCCCCTTTGGAATTCAGATCTGACCATCAGTTACCAGAATATCAAATATCTCATCGGCCTTTGAATTGTCAAAGGTCGGTTGTCCTTTAGCTTCTGTTCCTGGTGCTGGCTTTAACTTAGAGCATACATAAGGCTTTCCAGAGATGATTTCAGCCGCCATCTCTTCTGTTTGATCATAATCAAAGTCGTATGCCTCTGTTTCCATACTAGCCATATGTTGACCTTTATTACGCTTGAAATTCTGATCCCTTTCCCTGAAAAGAGACTCTAAACGTCCATCCTTGGATGCAAGGCTTGCCAAATCCTCCACATCATGTGCAGTGAGTGCATCTCTTAGGCGACCATGCATATTTCGGACCACTAAGTTGGTTATTTCTTTTTCATTGATTATTGTAGGACACTGTCCTTTCATTAATCGCACCTTTTCAATAAATTGTGAAGCTGACTCTTCTGGATATTGTTTCATTTCCAATAAATTAGTCAAAGAAACCGTTGGCAAGGGATTGAAAAATCTGGCATGAAATGCCATTTCTAAACCTTCCCCCAAGTTTGTATCTGCCCAGGTGGCAGACTTAAAAACCATGAAAACACTGTCCTAGTTAGAGATAATCCAAACAGTTGTAACTTGTAAAAGGGATTGTTACCAATTTCCCCCAGCTGTGCTGTGAAACGCCCCACATGCTCTATAATGGAGGATCCATCCTCTCCAGAAAAAGCATGAAAGTCTGGTGGCCTGTAATTCCTTCGGAGAGGATATTCATTAATAATCCTTTCTGGAAACGGTCTCTGATAAGCAGGTCGGTTGGCCATCCGAAGATTTAGACCAAACTGAACCCTCAATACGTGAGCAATTTCATCACCCAAATGAAATTGTTGATGATCAGGAACATCAATGGGATTTTGCACAGGAATAAGAATGGGATCCTGCATATGTCCCCCTAGCCTTTCCTCTCTTGCATTGTTCGGTTGAACATTTTCACCCCATGGTCCCAAAGGAACATTATTTGGGAAAGTCAGAGGAGTCTTTTCCCTATCTGTTCGGTTAAAGTTTGTGGCGCTTGGAAGTGTGCTGTCCACATATGATGGCCCTGCAAAATTTGCTTGCATTCTTGATGGTGACACCCCTGGCGGCGTCTGAGTGGGTTGAAGAGTAACCCTTGATAATGCTTGATCTAACATGTTCTGCATAAGATTTTGTTGCTCGTGCAACATAATGTTCTGTTGCTCGCGCAACATGTTCTGCATCGCTGAAGTATGCTGATTGTTCAATTGTTGAACATACAACAACCAATCGGTAGGTGGTTGAGGGATATCCCCTGGATTTGGCATGACTGGTGGTGAAATATTTTCTCCCACCGGTGCTGATGATGATTGAGGTTGTGTGCCTGCCATATTGATTTTTCTGATGATTCGGTCGGACCTCTGTTGTATGAAACTCTCTGTTGATGTAGGATCAGCAATCTTGCCTTTCTCCCACTGTGGTCGCCAATTTTTTGATGTATTTTTTCAACAAACAAAAAGTAAAATTCAAAGATATGGAAATATCCTTAAACTTGATTAATTAGCGCCTGAGATTAGGAATCTCTAAACACTTTACGGTACATAAAAAGATTAACTGGAAATTAAGATGCTGGAAATTTAAAGTGGTGATCCCCGAATCTGACTTTGCTTTGTCGAAGTTGATTGAAGATGATTGTAGAAGAAAAATCTAAATCCTTAAATACTCCTTGAGAAACGGTACTGGAAACCATCGCCTGAACGGTTACAACGTCTTTTTTTTCAACCGTCTGCTAACCCTTCTCCTGCTGACATGTGCCCTCAACCGACCAGAGTATCATTCTCACTTACTCTCAACAATATCTAACTCCCTGGACCGACCGCAGACATTTCGCCTCTTTGGCCCGACCGCAAATCTTCCGCCTTATTGATCCGACTACAAAACCTCCTGATCTACAGACCATCCGATTTGTCAGTCCAGCTGCAGACCTCCCGACTTAAAGACCATCCGACTTATTGGTCCAGCCGTAGACCTTCCAACTTAAAGACCATCCGACTTATTGGTCCAATCGCAGACCTCCCGACCTGCAAACCATCTGACCTACGGAGCTTCCGACTTGAGGATCTTCCGACCTGCGGACTTTCCGTCATGAGGACTTTCTGACCTGCAGACCTCCCAACCTGAGGACCTTCCGACCTATGGACCTCCCAACCTGAGGACCTTTCGACCTGCGGACCTCCCGACATGAGGACCTTCCGACCTGCGGATTTTCCGTTCTGAGGACATTCCGAGCTGCGGACCTCCCGACCTGAGGACCTTCCGACCTGCGGACCTTCAGACCCGCTGTTTCTTCAGAAATATATCTATTCTACCTGAGTTTCCCACGGTGCCCGTCGGCCAGTTCGATCAACTCGATTGCTAGGCCCATTTTTCTTTTTACCTTGAGTTTTTTAACCTAATTCTAAATTTCATACGTAACACATGTATTATAACTTTGAAATTGTTTCAGACAAATTTATTGAAATTCTAAATACATATTTATTTGGATAGGATGTGGTAAGTTTGTGATAGAACTTACCAAAGAAATACTCCTATGCAAGCTTATACTAGAACCTTAAAAAATCCATCGTAAATGAATTGCACGGGCATTAGAGAGGGAATAAATCCTTCGCTTGTGAATGAAATGAATTCCCTGGCAACATCCTTTGCTTGGTGGTTTAATGAGGAAAATTTTGGGGTTTATAAGTGAATATTATCCTTGAAAATCTATTACTCAATCCATTCCGGATGAAAGTGCCCTTTTGAGATCTTGTAGTAGATTAATAAATAATAGTATTTTATTTGTCAGTGGAAGTGTGTAAGAGATTTTGATATATTTACCCTTTGCCTTTATGTATAAAGTAATTGTATGTGTAATAGTATGTTTATAATTTAATTAAAAATTAAGGGTACTTGATATTAGTGTATGACAACTTTGACTAAAATAGAAAATTGATAGTTTTGAATAGGATAGACGAAAATGATAATGGTACTTTGAGTTGGGAAGGAGATATTATTATTTTTTTGTAGTAGGTAACAATCTGTAACACATATTGTTTTCTACTATCATTTTTTGAATACAATTAGCACCTTACTCTCTCAATGACTTGTCGCACGGTCAATCAAATATTTTACCTATTCCGTAATCACAATTTAATGTAACACTGGAGAAGGGATTGTCTCCATAGGGATTGTATGATTCACTCTTTTGCGTTCTAATGCAGAAAATAAAATGCGAGAATTTTCTTTTGTTATCTAATGAAGACAAAATAACAAAGCAATTAAATCAACGAATGACTAGCCATCAAGGGGATGTCTGGCTCAAGGGGTGATGCGGTCATGGCACTTTTATTTTCATCATTGATTCAATAAAGTTGGTTCTTATTAAACTATCAATAAATTGGTTATAGTTATTAACAAACTCTTATAACCAATTTTTCCTTACAGTATAGGTAATTAAGGTACGACCGTTAACGACCCCTAATTAAGCTAATGAACCTAGGTGCGCCTATAAGAAATATTGCCTAATCGCATTTTAATTTAAAAATACTCAATTCAAAATAATTATTACCTAAGAGGAGCAACTAAGTTTGATTGTCTAACCCCCGGGAAGAAACTATTCAACCCGGGTGTCACCTATTCAAATGCGAATACAATTACGGATATCCTACCTGAATTGACTTTAGATTATCAGACCAATTTAAATATCGGTACCAAATTATCCAATCAATCTAACAATCAAAAACATTATTTTCAATATTAAACAAATATTGATAATAAAAAAAGAACTTTTATAAAGAAAATTAAGAATCTCCAAAGCACAAGAACCAAAACATTATCATCCCTCAAACCAGAAAAGTAACTACTCCATAATTAAATAGCAAAGAACAAAAAGGAAAGATAAAGTCATAGTGGGAGTGGAAATCTTTTCTATTGATTTGCTCCTACGTGAACAATGAGTCTGTCAGTCTCATGCTTCTATCCGTATTTTCTCTAGCCGTCCTCCCCCTCTTCTACGCGTGACTTCGTTTTTCTCTTTTAATTTTGCCTATTTTATTTGCAGTTGGGCTTTTGGGCCTTTAATTAAATTCTCATGTCAAAAGGTGAAGTTAGTCATGTCCATGACTAACTTGGGAATGCAAATCTGAATTTTTCTTTACTTTTTATTCCAATCACGCCAAATTTTCTTTTTCTCTCCTACATGTCGGAAATAAAACAATACACATAGAAATTAGGTAGAATCGAGTCAAAATCAATCAAATATCGCATATAACATGAACACTTAATGAATACGATTTCTAATTATCAAACCTCCCCACACCTAGATCATGCTTGCCCTCAAGCATTGATTCAAAATAATCCAAAGAAATCCCAGACGACTCAATGTGACAAGAGAATCCAACACAACCATTTCAATTAGAAATTCAACACGAGCCAAATCGACCTCACAAAACAAAGTGTATACGCACATGCTTTTTGAAGGAATAAGTGTATAATTGGTTCAACACTCAGTTAGTGCAACAAAACATTATCCTATAGGCTTGAGTAAAAATTCAAATCTCGCTTACTCAAAATATTTGAATCTAACATAAAGAATCAAAGGGTCTTTCAATAAGGGTTATAGCAGGGCTTATAGTTAGGGGTAGAACAAGGATTTACAAAGGCTAAAATATGTCAGAAAAGAATACAATAAGAACATGATGCTAGCACATGAAAAATAAATCGGAATAAACAATAAAATCCTTACTTTATTCATTACCCAAACTTCAATAACGAAATTAAATAACAATACTTCATCAAGATTTTTTTTTCTTTTTCTTTTTTTGAATTTATTTTTTTGTTTTTTTTGTTTTCTGTTTGTTTTTTTTTTGGCTTTTGTCTTTATATAAAGATACCTTTACTACCCATAACCATTCTGCATACTATGATTTTTTCGTACTCAAATTTTTTCTCTAATTAGTGCCAAAAAATAAAGCGCATCACAATGATAAACTTAAAGTAATTCTTTCTAGCACAGTGTTCAAATCGGAGAAGGCTTAATCAAAAGAAAGGTATGAGGCTAAAAGACGGTTTACTATAGAAAAAAAATAGGCTAAAAAGGCTCAAATAGGCTAACTAGGGAAACATTATTGTGCTAGGTCATAATAAAAGGCTTAATTGGGTTACCTAATGCCCTTATCATTTACAAAATGCAAGACTCGATAGTTGCAAGTTCAACATGCATAATCACTCAAGTTCTAGGTCATTTAATTGAGCACTACAAATCACACATGGAAGAAACTTCCAGAAACTTGAATATATGCAATTTATTTTCTAATATAACTTTTGGAACATAGGCTCAAATCTCATAGGGTTCAAACGTCGACTTGACTCAACATATCACCAATCAAATGTCATTAGTCATGCTAGAAAAACCTATCACACAAATCACATATGATTCACTTCAGACTAATCAAAAAAACATGCAAAAGGGCAGCAAATTAGGCATAAAAAGTAGCACGGAATGAAAATTTTGTCCAAAAATTTTAACTCTCCCCACACCTGAAGTATGCATTGTCCTTGATGTAAAGAAAGAAAAATTAAAATAGAAGAAAGAGAAGGGTAGTCTAATGCTTCCCTAGTTTGAGGAGCCGATTTCAATCGGTACGGGGAATGAGTGACTGGATCATTAGATTTAGCTCGGAGAGGGTTGTAGTCACTTCAGTGTAGAACGGGGCATTCTCAGCTTGGAGGGCTGAAATTTTAGTTTGTTGGTGTTCAAGTGCAGCTCACAAGTGATTAAATTGCCTTTGGAAGTCATGAGGGGAGGATGCGGGTGGATCGGGATCAAAGGCAGGGAGGTCTGGAGAAGGTTGTGATCCGCGGACCAGTGTACCGGTGAAGAACCGAGTCC